CAATTAAGTAGAAAGACTTTTAATTTGCTCCTACATTGGCAACAATTATTTTGGATTGTCATAATTTGATGTCTCTCTAAATTATTTTATAGTAATCATTTTTCATCTAGATACATATTTGGCAATAAAATTTAATAATAATATTCTTAAAGATTATGATTTTTATTATTTTTAGATATTAAAAAAGTTCTAATATATAATTGGTATATTTTTATTCTTAAAAGATAATTTTTACTGAAATCATACTCAATTATAAATTAATTTTCATTTTTTTCATTTAAATAATGAATTTAAAAAAAATCCTTAAATTAAAAAATACAAGAATTTTAACAATATTTACTAAAAAATATGTATTTTATTTCTTTTTTTGGTAAAATTATAATATTAATATAATAGAAAGAGCTTAAAAATTAATAAAAAATTAAGTATATATTTTAATTTAAAAAAAATTAATTACAAAAAACACTATAATTTTCTTATATTGCCTAAAGTTATAATTATTTTTTTGGATTTAGAATAGAATTTGAAAATAGAAAAACTACAAAATCAAATAGTATTATAAAATTATTGTAATTTTCTTGTAAATAAATATAATTTTTTTACTTTTTTATTGTATTTTTATTCTTTTAAACAAAGAATTAGAAGAATACAATTGATTAATGCCTATATAATTATATAATTAAAATAATTATCAATGTAGAGTAAAAAGGATTTTTTCATTAACTAATTTTTTAAATATAGAATATTTGTTTTTTTTCGAGGTTTACAAAAGTACATCAGATTAAATTATTTATAGATTTGTATTATAGAATAAGAGATACAACTTTAAAAAAAAATCAAAAATTTAAATTACACCTTAAAATACAAATTTTTTATTTTTAAAAGAAACAAAAAAAAATTTAGAAGGATGTAAATTTTTTTTAATATTATTTAGGATTTAATCAAACTTACTTAATTTTTTTCTATATTTATATATTCTAAAAATTAATAGTAAATTCCAAATGATCAATAAAATTATGATTGTGATTTATAGCTATTTTTTGCAAGAATATTTAAATCAAAGTATTGTATATTAATTGATGGTATATTAAAGTATGATTTCTTAAAATATACTCTTACACAAGTCTATACTATTAGAATTAAAAATATAAAATTCCACAAAGGTATTTTAAAAAGAATATTTAAAAAGATAGAAAATCAAATAAACATTGGAATATGATAATATGGTATATAGATATTTTTAATTAAACATTGATTGAATTAAATGAAGAAATTTAATATTTTCTATAGTCAATAAATCATATATAAAATGAATTTTAAAAAAAAAACATACATAGCATATAGACGTTATTAAAAAAATTCAAAATATTACTTAAGAGTAATTTTAATTGATTAAGATGGTTAATTTAATTTATTGCATGAAATAATAATTAATAAAACATTTAATTGTATTAATAAAATAACAGATAATTAGATTATTTTTTATTATCTAAATTTAGTATTAAATTTTTATTTAGACATTTATATTAAGATTTTTCCTTTTTTATTTATGTATATATTTATTAATATGAAATATTGAATATAATTTAATATAAAAAAGGAAAAAATAGCTATAAATTTAATAAATATATACATGAATATAATTTAATATGAAATTTTCAAAATAGATTCAAGTTTAATAGGATTTCTAATTGTATTTAGAGAGGCCTTTAATAGGATAAATCCTTCTAAATAAAATACCTTCATATTATATAAATTGCCAATAGATGTCGAAAGTTCTTCTATTTTTAATGCATTTATTCATCACAATTTCTTGTTGTGATTTCAATTCACTAATTGATGATAGAAGTCTCTCCAATGATTTAGAGTTGCTTAAATATAATAATTAAATATATTTGAGGTTTTCAATTATATCTGTTAAGATCTATAAATTTATATGAAAGTGCAAGCATATCAAGCTTCTTCAAATTATGTAAATTTCTTAGAGCTTTTGAATTTTTTTTTATTTTGATGCACTCATTCATCTTAATTTTCTATAGTAATTTTAAGTAACTAATTGATAATAATTTTTATAATTAAATTAAATTACTTTATATTAAAATTTGAAGACATGAAATTTTTAATTATATTTGGTAAGAACTTTAAATTATTACAAGAATCCAATTAAAGCTTCTTCAAATTACATAAATTTTTTATAGATATTAAAAGTTCTTCTATTTTAATACACCCATCTATTACTATTTCTTGTAGTGATTTCAACTCACCAATTGATGGTAGAAGACTTTCCAATAAATCACATCTGCTCAAATCTAATAATTCAAGATATTTGAAGTTTTCAATTGTATCTAATAAGATCTTAAAGATTTTACAAGAATAAAAATAAAGCTTTATTTGAATTACATAAATTATCCATAGATGTTGGAAGTCTTTATATTTTAATTCATCCCTCCATCACAATTTCTTGTAGTGATTTCAATTCATCAATTACTGGTGGAAGTCTCTTCAACAAAATATAATGGCTCAAATTTAAAAATTGAAGACATTTGAGGTTTCTAATAGTATTTGGTAAGGTCTTTAAGTTAATGCAAGTTTGCAAATGAAGCTCCTTCAATTTTAATAAATTTTTCTATAAAGAATGGTAGTTTTTCTAAATCTTTGCAAGAGTCCAATTCTAATTCTTGTAATTTTGTAGGTAATCTCCACCATTTTATATTTAAATTTTTAATATTTATATGAGCTACATAAAACCAATTCAACTTAAGAAAACTTAATTGTATATATTGGTCTAAAACTTCATCATTATTTGTACTCAAATAAATCATCTTCAACTTATTAAAATAATTTACTTCGTTTTAAATACATTTTTTTTTCTTTGATCATTTTTATTTTTTATTTTTATCAAATTAAGTTTTTTTAATTGCAAACAACACCAAACTTTCTACTTTTTATGATTCTATAAAAATCAAAGGTTTTGGTTTAAAAAATTATATTCTTTACATTTACAACTATACTAATATTTAAATAGTTTAATAAAAAAAATTGATTTGGTAATTTTGACTTAATTAGATCTATGATTTTCTTAGGTATTATACACATCTTACATTTTTAATAAGTATGCTCAAGTTATTTTGTGACAAAAATTTAATATTTTTTCATAGTCAACGTTTGTCTTTTCTTATAATTACCCAATCCATGTCTTATAGTTGATCATGTATTATACAACCTTCAATTTTATTATTTTTTTTTATTAGAAACATGTTTATAAGGTTTTCAATCTTTATAGTTGAATTCTAAATTCGTGCAAGCCAATCCTTGCGTATAGATTTAATGACCAAATTATAAGTTTAAAGTTATATGAAGTACTTCATATATATATATATATATATAATGACCAAACAAACAATAGAATTTATTTCCAAATTCTTCCAAATTTCTTGTATGTTTTTTTCCTCACATCAAAGAACTTAGAAGATTCAAAAAACATATATTGTTTTTTTTAAAATCTTTTAAAGCTTCCTCAATAAAGTTACATAACCCATGGTAACTAACACAAGTCTTTTCTCTTGGCTTGCATACTTCAAAGTGATTAATACAAGCAATCATAAACTTGTATATAGGTTGAGTAGAAGTGTCTTCAACAATATTTTTTTTCTAAATTTATGTAAAATATCAAAAGAAGTAATTAAATAAATAAACAACAAGTAAGAAAACTTAATCCAATGCACTTCAAAATTTCCTAAATCAATATTTACACAACAACAAATGTTATGAACTTATATACACCATTGCTTGATTTAGGGCATTTACTTTAAAATTTGAATGTACAATCATAAGAAAACATGTCAATAGAAAAACCTACTTATCTCTACTAGAGCTAGCTCTAGAAGGTGCTCAAAGAGCTTGCTCAATATTAAACACTAAGAAACTACTAATCTTTGCTACTATACTGGGACCAAATTGGAGTTGACCACCTATTTATTCCTCAATGGGTCACATAGTATATCAAATGAATGCCACATTATTCACCTTTTATGGTGTTGTCCAAGTTATCAAACAACAATCCATAATCAAAATAATAAGGAAATCTATAATAAGAAATGTGAGGGTGGTTGGAGTTGGAATCCACAGAGAGACATTTGAGGTCTTCAATTGTATCCGATAAGGTCTTTAGTTTAGTACACCCTAGTAAATCAAGTTCTATTAAAATTATTTCAATTGCCCATAGATATTGGAAGTTCTTCTATTTCCGGACATCTACCTAGTCTTAATTTTTGTAGTTGATGCAACCCACCAATTGGTAATGGAAGTTCTTTAAATGAATGAAAATTGCCCAAATCTAATAATTTAAGCATTTCATGTCTAAAATTATATCCGATAAGGTCTTTAAGTTAAATCACAAACGTAAATCAAGTTCCTCTAAACTATTTGAATTACCAATAGATGTTGGAAGTTCTTTTATTTTCCAACATCCATGTAGTCATAATTTTTGTAGTAAATGCAACCCACCAATTAATAGTGGAAGTCCTTTCAATGAATGTCAATTGCCCAAATCTAATAATTTAAGACATTTAAGACATTTAAGATCTCCAATATTAGTTGGCAAGGTATTTAATGTATTGCAAAATAACACATGCAATTCCACCAATTTTTGGATACTTTTGTATACATAATGGAAGTTTTTCTAAATCAATGCATTCATACAACTCTAATACTCGTAGTTTTATCAATAATTTCCACCTCTATATTTAAACTTTTAATATTTTTATTAGCTACACAAAGCCAATTTAATAAAAGAAAGTTTAATTGTGTATATTCTTCCATAACTTTATCATCATGGGTAATCAAATAAAGCAATCTCAATTTTTTAAACTCAAACAATCCTTTTGAAATTTGTTTTTGTTTTCTTTGATCCTTTCTCTCATCCATTTTAGATTTTTTGATTATAGACATCACCAAATCTTCCACATTTGCAAAGTCTTGTAAAAACCAAAGATTTTGGATAAAAAATTATAATCTTTATATTTCCAACTACAATATCATTTAAACAATCTAATTCAAAAAAAATGGATTGCAATTTTTAACTTAATCACATCTATAATTTTTGTTAAGAATTCACTAATCTTAAATTTCTAAAAAACTTTACTTACCTTATTTTGAGGTGAAAATTGTAGTCTATTAACCTTGTCCCATAGTCGACTTCCATCTTTTTTTACAATATTTCAATCCATATCTCGTAGTTGATCATGCATTACACAACCTTCAATTTCATTATTCCATTTGATTAGAGACATGTTTATAAGATTCTCAACTCCTATACTTGAATTCCAGATTCGTGCAAGCATATCCTTGTGCATAGATTCATGAGTCACACTCTTATATTCACATATGATTGTAGCAAAATCCAAGAACATCCTTTGTTCATCTTCATCCAAAACATCATAGCTAATTTTTAACCTTGACCATAACTTCTCATCATCATTACGCCCATCAAAAGGCTTTGCTTCTTTTAATCTCCTCAATGCTTCATTCCATGCATCCCTAACTATATCAATATCTTTTCTCTATATTTCCTTAAATATTTTCCAATTACTTCAAGGCTTAAAGGCAATCCACCACATGCCTTTGTTATAACTTTTGTTTTATGATCAAAGCACTCCTTGTTATTAAGTCCACGATAAGCATAAAATGAAAATAACTTTGAAGCTTGGTCATCATTTAAATACTTCATATAATAAATACCTTCACTGTAGTCATATAATATATCTTATCGTCATGTAGTCACAATCACTGCTTCCATTTTGAGTGTCTTTGAAAGCATGTACTTGCAACTCTTTCAAATGTGTTTCATCACCTACATCATCAAGAACCAATAAAACTCTTTTCATAATAATGCAATCTTTTAGATTTTTAAGTTGCTTATCTTTATTTTCTTCTCCATTCCAAACTTTGTCACATAATGCACAATATAGTTCTTTTTGTGATTTTTCAACACCATGAGATGTCACATCTTCCAAGAAACAAAACTTTTCAAATTGATGTCTCACATGATTATTCTTTATTTCATCATTATACAAGTATTTGCTCAATGTTGTCTTTCCTATATCCCCCATGCCTACCAAACCAACAATAGAATGTGCTTCCAATTTCTTCCAAATTTCTTGAATATTTTCTTCCACTTGTACCAAAGAACTTGGAAGCTGTTTTAGACATGGATAATTTTCCTTGAAATCTTTCAAAACTTCCTCAATAAATTTGGTTATCACATGATAACTAACACAAGTCTTTTTGCTTGGCTTGCATACTTCAAAGTGATTAGTGGGAGCAGTCATAAAAGTCGTCACCCATGTGTCGTGCTGAACCCTCTTCAACAAACTGAATACATAAATTTAACTATAACAACAAAATAATTCAACGAGTGAATAAATTTTACATAAATTTTTTTTATTCTAATACAGTTTAAAGTTTTTACTAGATTAATATTTACACAAAACCAAATGTTATGAATATCACAACACCTTTGCATGAATATGGCCATCAACTTAAAAATGTAGATGTACAAGCATGTAATGATGTATCAATGTATACTTACACGTGAAGTGGTATTGTAGTCTTGTAAGCCTCTTAAATAGCATAGTGTTTCCATTTGTTGTTATAACTTTCTCTTCCAATATGTTGAAAAGTTGAGTTTAGACGACAAATACCTTAATTGATGACCTTCAATTCACAAACCATCTTTCCATCCATAGAATGTTTTTTACCATCACTAGCTAGATTGTAACCCATGATGAGGTGTAGAATAATAGAAAAACCCTCTTATCCTTTGCAAAAAATTCTCATACTTTGGTCTCTTTTCAAATGCAAGTTTTACTATCTCCTTTGCCATCAAGCCTCCAAGACAATGGCAAACAAACACAATAGGACATTCATGTTCACCTATGTGAGCATGCTCAACTATCCCTTGTAGAAGAGTCTCTGCTGCTGCATACAAATCAACATTTCCTTTGTCACTTCCTTTCCAAGCAGTGGAGTCATAAGAAAGCGACCATATCCGATATCCAAGAAAGTCTCGTGTCAACCATTCCATTGGCCAACAAAACTCTTTGCAATCTTTTCCGCCCATCCAAGTTGTCCAATATGCATCACTACGCTCATATAATTGTAATCCATGAATGAACACAATCTCCACTTCAACTTGACTCGGAGGCTTAGGCTCACTTAGATTATACACTCCAGTAACGATCTGCATCAACAAAAGTTATGCAAAAGCTTAGAGGTAACAATCTTTGCTCTAATTATTCTACTTGAAAATGCAGCAATAATGCAATTCAGTCAAGGCAAGAACTCTGCGGTGTCAGACTGTGAACCTCGAATAGAACTGAGAATAGATGGGGCATGTTCAGGAGTAATTTAAATGGCATCGAAAGTTATTTATACAATCCCCAAACTGTTACTTACAATATCCCTCAAATCAAATTGTTATTCCTAATTTCTCCACACATGGAGGATTTGTAAATATGATAGCACTGTACCTCTTTGATGCCATCTGGCTTCGTTGCACCATCCGAAGGAGAAGGGTTGGTTGCTTTCCCAAACCACCACGACCTAAACAACGACGTTGACGCCATCCTTTCGTACACCTAGCGAAGAGAACCAAATTTACACTCAAGATCCTTCAGATACATGAAAAGGGCACATTAGCAGCAGATTATCTCAAACTCGATAAACACTCTTTGCGTTTGTCCAAAACCACATAAGACCATCAATCCCAACCCCAGCAGTGTGAACCTCATCACAAGAACATCAAGAATTGCGAGAGGACCTCCGCGACCTTCAGTTCACTAAATCTGAACCCTGATCTGCACCCCTTCAGTAAATACCCTTCAGTTCAATTTCGGTGTGCTTGGTATTTCCTGTTTGCCGAACCCTGAGTCTTGGCGATGGGCACCTCACACACACTTGTAACGCGTGCACAAATGTGCCAGTATAGGAGCAGCTTTAGAAAAGGCACACATGTGGGCTGATACTCTTTTTGACATGAAGCTAGCTTAATCAAGGTGTCCCCAGCTGGTTTACTGATACAGACTATTCGATTGAGTGCCTGGAAAATCATGAGTATCTGAGAGAAGACATTCCTAAAGCCAGTTTAATCGAAGGGGCGTGGGCCTGTCTACGGATGGGATTAGCTGATTCAATCGTCACTTTACATATCCAGCGATTGCAGAGAAGTTGGACCCTCTGCTAGCAGGAGTGCATATTCCCTTGGTGGGTTGGTGTGTTTATACAGATTGCATCAAGCTAGTTTGTGTGAAATACAAATTTGTACTACGATAGAACGATTTGCACACTTCTGAAAACCGAGAAAACTTAACTATGTATAACCTGAGTATCTTACATCTTTGGAGGTTGAGAGGAGACGCTGGGAGTGGTGCACATGGACTGGCATTTAGGTAGCTACTTATGCATGCTCTCTCAGCAAACAGGAAATGCCAGCCATGGGCAGCCACACCGAAAATCGGCCACACCGACCAATGCACACTCTCGAGAGCTACTTTGCAAGACATGAAAACCTAGGCGTCAGCTCTGGCGACCGTCAGATATATTACACGAGTTTTGGTAGCCTTCGTAAGTACCCTGAGTGACTAAAGGGTTCAGAGCTTTCATCTAATAAATTGGTTCCGACCATTTGGGGAATATCCTCAGAACACGTCAAACAAGATGGAGAAATTTTGATAGATCCAAAGACAGGCTCATCGTCACTCACAACGCTAACGATCATACCAAAAAGAGTGCATGAAACGTCTACCAGTCACAAAACAACACAGCTCCAGACTCCACGACAAGCTCGTGCCTGATCAGGCTCTAACAAATATCCTACCCAACATCCACGACCCCACGAGTGGAAACCAAGTTAACACCTCACCTCACGGCCAAACAGATCTCGCTTGAAAGCAAAGTCACGGACTCTGGGCACACAACACGCACCCTTCCAGAGCCGCTACTAATCCGACCATATGCACTCGAAATCCTGCCCACGAAATGAGCAAAGAACAGACGTAGGACGCTGGTAGCGAATACAAACCTGAATCAGAAGAACTAGGTCGCTGCTTACACGTTCGGGGACGATGGGTTGCAGGGGCACACAAGAGGGGTGAAAATCAACGAAAGTCCTCAAACCCAGCGCACAGAGGCTACATACACGAGAGTGGGAGGGCCCATGCAGCAATAATGCAATTCGGTCTAGGCGAGAACTCCGCGGTGTCAAACTGTAAACCTCGAATAGCACTGAGAATAGATGGAGCATTTTCAAGAGTAATTTTAATGGTGTTTTGCATCGAATGAGAAATTGTCGGCTACTCTTGCCGCATTTCAAACAGTATTCGGCGCATATCATTGACTGCTCTTGCCGCGTTTCAACCAGTATTCGGCGGATGTACATACCAACAGGGGGAGGCGGAGGGAACCAGAGCCACGGCGTTGGAGCGGAGTCAGGATAAGAAGAAGCCCAGGTGCGGGGGAGTTGGGAAAACTCGTGATTCAGTTGAGCGTGAAGAGGGCCAGAATGTGTAGTGGTAGAATGGGCCCTGGAATAACCCTAATTATAAGCCCATCGCTAATTATAAGCAAGATGTTAAATGCACAGGCAGCCGGTTGAAGCGGCTTGTAATAGTCTCCAACTCGTTTCTTAGCCCAATAGTGTCCACAGTTACCAGGGCTGGCTCTACAAAGTGCTCAAAGAGCCTGCTCAGTATCAAACAGTAAGGAACTGCTACTCTTTGCTGCCATACTGGAAGCAGATTGGAGTTAACCACCTCATGACCCACCAAGGAATTAAGAGGTAGATGCATGCAAAGCAACATAATTTACCATGATGAATGCCTTAGTTTTCATCTTTTCTGGTGTTGTTCCAGATTTCAGAGAGCAATCCATAATCAAAACAAAAAGGAAACCTGTGATGAGAAATGTGGGGGTTGTTAGGGTTGGTGCCATGCATGTTCTGCATGGAGTCCACAGAGAGTTGAATCCTGTGATGGATGGTATGTTTGTAGAGAATTACATAACTCAAATAAAATTACACACTTAGTGTGATAATCTTGTGTAGTAGAGCGTCTGATAATCTCCTATTTGATATTCAGGGGTCCCTTCCCTGCCTTCCCTCCCCTTCCAGGGCACCCTCCATGTCCATCTAGTAATCTCCTATTTATTATAAATATTTAAAAAATGATATGTCTTGAAATTTGTAAAAATGAATATATCATGCAATGTAAGTAGATTAATCAACCAACAAGTTTTACTTGGAAAAATCTCTTAAAATCTTCTGTGGTAATTTGGGAATTTAAAAAGGAAGAAGAAAAAGAAAAAGAAAAAGATGGTTTTGTAGAAACTTTTTATTTTCCATTACTATTAACTGTTTTATTTTTTTAATTTAGAACTATTACTTCTTTAAAATCTTGTATTGTTCTTAAAACTTCTTATAAAAACTTCTTTAAGATCTAGTTGATAAAATATAAATGAACAAAAAAAACAATATTTTGGAACTATCCAATTGTTGTTTTGTTTCTTGTATATGGTCATGTTTCGAATCTTCTCAACCTTTCAATTCATTATCTTTGCATTCTTGACAGTACATTAAATATAAATAATGATATTCAATTGACACATAAAGTTGAATTTGTATTACATTAATTAAGAATATGTTATATATTTTTAAGTAATGCATTAATGATTTTATAAATAAATCTTTACAAATCACAATTTCAAAAGATCTGAGCAATTTATTTCAACAAGTAGAAAAAGTTTTGATTTATTGATTTCTTCTTTCATACATTTTCAATCATGAAGAAGTTAAAAAAATAACATGATTTGCCAAAAAGAAGACTAAAATTTTAAGTTGAGGCTTATTATTTACACCTTCCATGTGTAGATTGTGAAAAAACAATAGAGTTAGAAAAAAAACTATTACAAGTGTAAATCAGAGATATGGTTTTCAAAAGAAAAGATCAAAGAAAATGATAAATAACATTATTGTTGTAATTTACTTCAATTAAGATCTAAGAGATATTAGTTATTGCATGGTTATACATTTTCAGACTATACTCTAATCAGAGCACAATCTGTAAATACCAACATATAATCATTTTAACATACAATCTTTTTAACAGATGTTATATGTTGGTATTTAGAAAAACCATATCTTATGCCAAGAATTTAATATATATATAATTTTACGTATACAAAGAAAGAGCAAGAAGGAGTAAAAAACATATTTATGATTTGTTTTGTGCCTCTTAAGTGTCTTTGGACATTGATTTCAAGGTTCTTCTAGACATCAGGACAATTTTTATTTTAAAGAAAAATACATAACAATAATTAATATATCTAATTATAAATTGATTCCAATTTTAGATTTATTACTAAATTTTCTCAATAAGTAAGTTTTCATATTTTTTGTATACTACTACGTGATTGTATCATAAAATACATGAATAAATTGTTTAGAATTTTACAAAAAATTTAATGTGAAAAATCAAATGATTAATTTTTTTTGTAGTCATGTGTGTATATATATATATATACATTGAATGAGAGTAAAGATAGTTGTCTAGTTTCTTTACTTATCTTTCTAAATTTAATAGTCATTATAAAACTCTAAGTATAAGATGTGATGATATTGAATATATATTAAAATTGACAAATTTTAAGGATTCTTACATGCATAATATTCTATAAAATAAGACAAGTACTTAAAAAAAAGTAGTTATTAAGTAAAAAATATAGAGCAATAAAATAACTCATACTATAGACGTGATTACATTGGTTTTGTATAAAAAAAATAAAAATTAAAAATTAAATATTAAGATGCTAATTTTTTGTCAAGACACATGTAGAAATCTATTTTGGCGCACTAAAAAATTTTATATTATAATACAAATTCATAATTATATTATATTTATTTATTGATAATATTTTGATCTTAATGAAATCCATAATAATATGATATATTATGTACAATTCTAAATCAATCTAACCTAATCATTAGTCCTATGAATTGTAATCCAAGAATTGATAGTTGAAGTCTTTCAAATAATTTATATTTTTTCAAATATAATAATTTAAGATATGTGAGATCTCCAATTATATCCAATAAGGTCTTTAATTCAACACATCTTTCTAAACTATAAGGTCCTCTAATCCTCTAAGCTATATAAATTATCTATAGATGTTGGGAAGTCCTTCTATTTTAATACATGCATATAGCCATATTTTTTTGTAGTGAATGTAAGTCACTAATTGATAGTAGAAGTCCTTCCAATGATTTACATCTAATTAAATTTAATAATAAAAGACATTTGAGGTTTATAATTATATCCAATAAGGTCTTTAATTCAACACACTCTTCCAAATGAAGTCCTTCTAAACTATGTAATTTGTCCATAGATGTTAGAAGTTTTCTTATTTTAATGCAACCTCATAGATTTATTTTTTGTAGTGAATGCAACATATTAATTTATAGTGGAAGTTTGTCCAATGAATCACATCTGCTCAAATCTAATAGTTAAAGATATTTGAAGTCTTCAATTGTATCTAGTAAGGTCTTTAGTTTAATACACCCTTACAAACCAAGTTTCTCTAAATTATTTAAACTCTCCATAAATGTTGGCAGTTCTTCTATTTCCTAACACTTAGTCTTATTTTTTGTGGTGAATACACTTCACCAATTAATGGTGAAAGTCCTTCCAATGAATAACATTTGTTCAAATCTAATAATTTAAGACATTTGAGGTCTCCAATTGTATGCAGAACCTTTAAGTTATAACACAAGTGCAAATTGAGTTCTTCTAAATTATATAATTTCTCCATAGATGTTGGAAGTTCTATTTTCTAATACCTAAATAGTCATATTTTTTTTAATCAATGCAACTCACCAATTAATGGTGGAAGTCCTTTCAATGATTCACATTCAATTAAATCTAATAATAAAAGATATTTGAGATTTTTAATTCTAATTGATAAGAACTTTTATATTTTAAATCCTTTCAAATCAAGTTTTTCTAAACTATATAAATTTTCCATAGATATTAGAAGTTCTTCTATTATAATGCATCAACATACTTAGTAAGTGTCATGAATGCAACTCACCAATTCATGGAGGAAGTCCTTTCAATAATATACAATAATTCAAATCTAATCATTAAAGACATTTGAGGTTTATAATTAAATCCGGCAAGGTCTTTAATTCAATATATCCTTCCAAATCAAGTTCCTCTAACCTATTTAAACTATCCATAGATATTAAAAGTTCTTCTATTTTTCCACAAAAAAATAGCCATATTTTTTGTAGTGAATGCAATCTACCAATTGATAGTGGAAGTTCTTCCAATAAATGACAATTGTTCAAATCTAATAATTTAAGATATTTGAGGTCTCCAATTGTATCTAGAAAAGACTTTGAGTTAAAACATAGTGACAAATCAAGTTCTTCTAAATTATTTAAATTATCCATAGATGTTAGAAGTTCTTCTATTTCAAAACATCTCTCTAGTCTTAATTATTGTAGTCAATGCAATCCACCAAGTGATATTGGAAGTCCTTTCAATAAATAAAAATTTCCAAATCTAATAATTTAAGATATTTTAGGTCTCTAATTATATTTGATAAGGCCTTTAATTTATAACACTCTTATAGATCAAATACCTCTAAGTTATTTTAATTGCCCTTAGATGTTGGAAGTTCTTCAATTTTAGAATATTTCCTTAGTCTTAATTTTTGTAGTGAATGCAATCCACCAATTAATAGTGGAAGTCCTTTCAATGAACAATAATTGCCTAAATCTAATAATTTAAGACATTTGAGGTCTCCATTTGTATCCGGTAAGGTCTTTAAGTTACAATAGAAGTATAAATCAAATTCTTCTAAACTATTTAAATTGCCTATAGATATTGGAAGTTCTTCTATTTTTCCATTGCCATGATATAATATGGCTAACGGATGAAAGAGTATAGAAATTATTGTATTATAGAAGATCTTAATTCAAAATATTATACAAATTATCTTAGAAATATAGATAATAGTCAAAAGGGTAGTAATATTAAAAAGTATTAATATTGCCTTTTATAAAATGGGTTTCTATTTATTTTGTAGGACCATAAATAAGGCAAAATACATTAAATTAGAAAATTAAATAATATAGGCATATGTAGGAAGGAATTAAGAGTAGATTTTAGTAAAATTTACCTCAAGAAGCCAAGAATTGATACCCAGAGAGGACCAGTTGTCAACTTGGGTCGAAATTAGACCCCAAGGCACAAAACTACACACTTACAATAATTCTTGGATTTTTTTTAGAGATCGAAGAAAGGGATCAGAAAGCATACTAGATAGGATTTCTATAAGAATTAGCTTTGTATAATTTGAATTTGTAATGACTTTGTAAGAACTTTATAAAGTCAAGATTGTTTTGGATGACTTAGGTTTTTGTGAAATAAAATAGGATTGATGTTTTAAACAATTTCAAGAGTTTTGTAGTAGATCTATAAATGAAATTTTGTGAATTAATGGTTATAGTTGTGCTTAATATGTATTGTCAATTTTAGCTTGATCTAATAGTTGAATTAAAGATTATTGAGGTTTAAGTAGATCAAAGTCTCAAAAAGTAGAATTTTAAGTCTAGTGAAGATTTCTAAGATTCCTTGCAATCTACTAGTTGGATTTGAGTAAAAGTTATATGTATAAATAATAGACTTGTGTTCTTATATATATGAGAATTTTGAGATCAATTGAATAGTGCAAAAGAGAGATGTTATTACTAGAAGATCAGCATCAAGGTTAGAGAAGAGGCTAGTGTCAATGACAAGAACTCGATGAAAAAGCAATTCAGACAAGTGAGCCTTCACTCAAAGAAAGATAACAAAATATAAATAAACAAGTATATATATTGAAAGAAAAACCGGAATGGCTATTGCCAAAAGACAAGAAAACTAGAGACCCTTGAAACAAGACTGGAAGCAAGAAAGGAGTTGACAAGAGTGAAGAAGCCTTCACTCTTGTCTCTATATATACTATCTAACTAGGGGCTACGTGGCGACGTTCTATAGGACCTCCAATAAGTATTGACTTTGTAGGACACATGCCTTGACTTACAAGGCAAGTTTTTCTACGTGTTGGCCACATTGTTAGCTTGATCTTCAAGCTAACAACGTGTGTGGCACATGGCCAACTTGTTGACAACGTTTCTAATCCAAAAAGTCAATTAAAGACACCTATAAAGTCAAAGCAGCATCTATGAAGCTTCTAAGAGCTTTCATATCAAATACTATAGAATTAACTTACTTTTATCTATTTTTACTTACTTCTACATATTTATATATGTAATTACTGGCTTACATGAGTATGTCCATGACATTATCCCCCCTTCTAGGGATGAGTTCTATGAGGAGCGATCATCATATGTTGAGAAAATCTATGATGCAACGAATTATATTTGCCACATACTCTGATCTTTGTTGTCTTCGAAGATGATTGATAGGGCCTCTCAACCATCGGTAGTGTCCCATACCAGGGCGGGAAGACCACCCAGTTATTTGATCATTGTTGAGGCCTTCATAACTTCCTTTGAATAGAACATTTGGAACACAATCAGGAGTGGAAGTCTTTTCAATGATCAACAATTGCCTAAATCTAATAATTTAAGACATTTGAGGTTTCTAATTGTATCCGGTAAGGTCTTTAAATTATAATACAAGTGCAAATCAAGTTCCTCTAAACTAATTAAATTACATGTTGGAAGTTCTTCTATTTCCCAACATCTACATAGTCTTAATTTTTGTAGTGAATGCAACCCACCAATAGTGGAAGTTCTTTCAATGAATCACAATTGTCCAACTCTAATAATTAATACATTTGAGGTCTCCAATAGTAGTTGGCAAGGTCCTTAATCTCTTGCAAAACAACAAATGCAACTCCATCAATTTTGATAACTCATGTATAAATGATGGTTTAGAGTTATGGTTTAATCATACTCTAACTGTATGGGGTTTTGCATGTTCATATGCAGCTTCTATACTTCATGAATTCCTCCCTGTCCGTATGTGAGAAAGCCGCCGAGTACTCTAGAAACGCGGCAAGAGCAGTCGACAATTTCTCTTTCGATGCAAAGCACCATTAAAATTACTCTTGAAAATGCTCCAACTATTCTCGGTGCTATTCGAGGTTCACAGTCTGACACCGCGGAGTTCTCGCCTTGACTGAATTGCATAATTCCTGCGTTCGACCTCCCGCTCTCGTGTATGAGTTTGCTTTCAAGCGAGATCTGTTTGGCCGTGAGGTGAGGTGTTAACTTGGTTTCCACTCGTGGGGTCGTGGATGCTGGGTAGGATATTTGTTAGAGCCTGATCAGGCACGAGCTTGTCGTGGAGTCTGGAGCTGTGATGTTTTGTGTCTGGTAGACGTTTCATGCACTCTTTTTGGTATGATCGTTAGCGTTGTGAGTGACGATGAGCCTGTCTTTGGATCTATCAAAATTTCTCCATCTTGTTTGACGTGTTCTGAGGATATTCCCCAAATGGTCGGAACCAATTTATTAGATGAAAGCTCTGAACTCTTTAGTCAATGCAATGATTTAGAAAAACTCTATACTTAGAATGGTTTAGGGTTAATCATAACTGTATAGAGTTATGGTTAAATCTTTGTATTGTTTTGCACAAACTCAAACTATAACTATCACGTGTTGGATGTGATGCGTCTTGGTTCATGTCACGTTTTTCTCGGAGCTTTGAGAATGTGGCGGAGTTTTTTATTTACATAGGGCCACATCGTTAATCATGAACGCAAGGGAGGACGAGGGTTGAGGTGAAGAAGCAGGGGGGGGGGGGGGGGGGGTGATGCCTCTGCCACACACACAGCACAACAGAATAGGAAGGAAGATGACGAAGTAAGGGTTTGATTTCACTATTTGTATTCTAGATACTCTCTGTTCAAAACTATTCTTTATTTCACCTAAAGATGTGTATAATATTATTTACCACACAATGCAAAGCTTCGCAAACATTTCCATGTCACAACAGCCCATCACGTACATTTTCATTAGTAAGAAACACACTTATATAACGCGCTGATGCCGGGAACATCATCAGAGATGAGTTGATCCCTGACCACAAGAGTTGTACAAGACCTAGGAGAATTCAAAACAGTTTTATTCACACGTTAAGCTTGGACAAACCCACGAGAAAAATGTTCGAATTTAACAACTACAATACAATACTGCTGCCAAGGGAAATGTTTAGCCATAGTCTGAAACCTAGATTGCCTTCTCCCATGGAGGTCATTCACCTTCACACTACGCAGTGATAAGTTTCAAGTAACAATATAAAGACTATACTAAGCCAGTAACATGGCGAGTATCTCTTCAAATCATCTCCAACTCAATTATACACATGGCGTTTGTGCAGAACAATGAGTCACGTGAAACTAATGGACCTGTTTGCGATGCGTAGAGATGATTTGGTGCTTTGCACTCGAGGTGATAAGCTGCTCTGCCTCTCCACGTAACTGAGTTTACACCTACTGTGTTTCTCAAGATCGCGAACAATCGCTTGCGCATCGTTTCAACTGTGCTCTAGCTCTCCCACATTGTTCTCCAAGATTACATCCAGTGTTACTGAAAATAAAATCTACAATGAGGTATACCAGTCTATTTACCTCATGAGTGTGGCGTGAGCAGCCTGTCTTCAATTTATCAAACATGTACACTTGCTCCACCGCTCCTGCAGTAGCGTTCTTAAGTGCTGATGTAAAAGTGTGGCTGTGATTTACGGTTGCTGGTCTTTCACAGCTGAGACTAGTCCCACACCTGAAAGGTCTTAGGTAGAGTGATCACTAGAAAAGCGTACGACCCGGAATCTTCGTTGCCGCCTCATATTTATCTCTATGGCAAAAAGGTCGTCAAATGAAAGTAATTCTTTCTGCAAATTCACGATTAAAAGAAGAGTCCTGAATTTCATCATTGGTCTCAAACCTGTTACTGGCTCGACCGAAGTCGAGGTCACCAGGGTTGAAAGTGAAGTCCAGTAAATCCCAAGTACTCTTTTCCTCCTCAACTTTGATTGTCCTCTGTTTCTCAACGTCAGCGTGACGTGAGGGAACGTCCCTTGAGTTTGAGTGCTGGTAAGGAAGAGGTTTAGCAATATCTAAGAACTTTTTAATTGGCGTCCTAGAAAGCTTCGAAGAGAGGGATTGTGTTGGCTTTGCAACTGGGATACAAGATTGAGCTACAGTAGTTGATGCCATGTCACGTGCTGGCGGGGTCGCCGTTGCGACAGGAAAAGACTTGTAAGCTTCACGTTCACCTTCCATCCCAAGCTGTCTCTCATACAGACCATTCTTCAAAGCGATTGCCTTCTCCAACCACTCCCGCAAGCTGGTCTCAACATGCCATTGCATCTCCTCGTTCTCAGAAGCAATGGGGTTGGAACTGATTGACTCCTGCGGATACCCTTGAAAATCTGATCCATCAGAGAATTCATCAAGAGATGCGTCATCGAAATCATCTTCATCCCAACCACTGGAACTTCCAGAGCAGCTACCATCTTGTAGCCAAGACTGTGTTCTGTAGCTCCCGGTCATGTCATGTCTGGTATGATGCGCAGGGCCAAATCCTGAAGTGGCTACGAAGGCACCAGACATAGACGGGTCAATATTAGACCGAGAAACTTGTTCCAGACCAGACCGAGAGGCACGACGAGGTTGACGTGGCATGGCTGGCTGAGGTTGCCACAAGGTTGAGTCGTGAGCACTCACATCTGAGTTACAACCTGGAATGGTAAATGAGCTCAACTGTTGTAGAATATCATCATGAGATCCCTTCAACCCTATGGAGGACCCTAACTCTTTTAACAAATCCTGGGCGCGCTCATAGGATTTAAGTTGAGAATCTGATGCCCACCGAATGCCACTATACGCTACGGTCACTCTCTGAAGAGCGGCTTTAGCTTCTTCCAGACGCCCTTGCTTCATCAAGCAAATGCCCAAATTGCAAACTTTGTTGATGTCGGTTTCAATTGACAATGCTTTCCTGTCGCACACAAAAACACTCCAAGTAAGCGACAGATGATATGGATCTGCTAAGCACACCAGGTCAAGCGACACAGCAGACAGAATCACGCTTTTCGCATTGAACAATAAAGGGAATCATCTTTTTTCTCCTGCGACTTGCGAATTAACGTTCATTTCCATGGACATGTAAACCCATCATCTATGAATAAACATGGGTTTAGTTACAAAGAATTTTTTTTCTTTACCTGTACACGGCTTCAGCAGCTACAAAATTTAACTGCTGCATGTATGCCCATCCAAGATTGCCCTGCGAAATGAATAAAAAAGTACAATCAGTAAGTGGCTTCAGTCCCGCAACATAGCTAACCACTCCGTTACAAACCCAGTATTATTTCCCAATTTCGTCCTCAACTTCGCATGGCCATGCTGTCAAAAGACACATCCCCTAATGAACGAAATCGTATCAAGTGGAGAAAATTAACAGAGACTTCGGTAACTGTAACAACTGCACACTTACAAGAAGGCGAGTTGCTTCTTGTTTCACAGATACTTGAAATTTTTTGCCTTGAGAACGGGCCGTCTTCGTGCGCTTCCCATTGAAGGCCAACCCTTGATGGATCAAATGAAGCTTGTGTCTCAGCAGATCAATTTGATCGTCAAGCCTTCCACATCTCTGCATGACTCAAAATATATCAAATAAGAGTGAGGTATTTTCATAGGAAGCATAATTGTTGGCACTACAACACTTGATCATGGATATCAAATGGTACGCTTCAAATTCCAAACGTCAAGATATTCAGTGCAAGATTGCTCTAAATCTGATACTTAGCTTCAATCAGCATCGGTTGAGCATTCATAGTTCAGTATCTTGTGCACCTTGTAAAGATCAAGTAAAACATTGTCCAGGGATTCTTGAGCCTGGTCAGAGCAGCGGCTACGTAGCGACTTGATGGCCTCGATAGCTTCTTGTGGTCGATTTTGCTGTCTCATCACGATAGCCATGTCCTTAAGAGCACTGTCAACTCGATCTCCTGAATTAATGGCAGCCCAGAATAGTGCTATCGCTCGATCAGGGTCTTTATCAACCAACTGGATACAATTTCCATTCGTCAATCAACCGCACATTGTACAGAGCCCAATTGCGTACATCTTTTTGAAACCCTCAGAATTCTCATGTAATTTTTGTGAAGTGCAGGGAAGTTGCGAAAAATCACATCAAGAGTGGAATGATCTAGACGTCTTTACCAATGTTTTTTCAAGCAGCATCATAGTATGAAGTAAATAAGTTACGCGCACAAGTCAAAGAGCGAAATTTGAGAAAATATGCCACAATCGCAGTAGGCATAAATAGAAATAAAATTCAACTCTCATGGAAAATTATACAGTACTAATCGCATCGATCTTGAGCGATTGAAAACCCAACCTGACGGATGCGAATGGAGTGAAAAACACGTACGCAAGCCTGAACGCAAAAGAGTACTTGGAACAAATCAAAGATGTAAGAGGATACTAGAACTGAAAATCGCACCTGAACATGCTTGGCCTTCACATACGGAGAGTCTCCCACAGGTACTTTGTGAACGACATGAAAAGGATCACCCCTTGATATTGGCAGGACCTTTGAGGTCGGTTTCATAGGAGAACATGGAGCTGGTTTCGAAAAATAAGTGTTGTAGGACATCAAGTATCCTGAAGCTGGTCTCGCAAATTGCTCACCCCGAGTCATGATACCACTGATTACTTAATCATGAAGCGCTCTTTGCCACTGTAGTAAGCTCAAGTGCTAATTCAACCAGACTGGCGAAAGATAGGGGTGCCGCGAAACATCAAAGCTTTGAAATGGACAGAAACTAAGAGGCGTGCGCAACACTGAGACACACAAGAGCGTAGTGTATGCATGAAAATCTAGAAAGTCTACTATAGCAACCCCTGAGAGCTGCAAGGTATTGCGGGGAAAAGACTCAGCCACGATAGTATTGCTGCAGACCATAGTACGTCAGCATTCTGAAATTAACTGCAGAGCACTCTACTGAACATGAGTTCCGCTAAGCACAACCGCATGCGCTTAAATGACACATCAAAACAAAATCGCAGCTAATTCCTTGTGCTGTAAATAATGATCCATACAAATACAGGTGCCTTATTCAGTTGCAAGTGTAATTCCCCTCAGTCCCTCGATCTTCGACTTAACATGCACTGCAGGGCATGTCACATTATCAGACAAGCAAAAACAGGTGCCATGTGAACGCAGCAAGAGAGAAACACAACGCATGGAATTCACGAGGGTTCAAAAACAAGGGCTGCACACCCCGCAGCGTTAAGTACTCATCGAACGAGCTACGTACAACCAAAACGACAATTCCCGCGCAGACTTGCCAGCATTACCGCAATGAGAATGGCCTTCACATGCAAACGCGCGCGCGCGCACACTCACGCACACCGAACCAATGCACACCGTATGACGCTGACCGCAACAATTGAAGACATTCCGTGTGACTGACAGCGACAACAGAAACAGATCATGACCTCCTACTCACTCACACGAAAGAAACAAACCATTTAAACTCCTCGCCACTCAACAGACACCCTAACCGCACTCAATTGTACGCGCACGAGTCCAGAATCTACCGATTGACGCTGCGAGAGAGGCGATGTATATGCAGCCCCATCGACTCCCACTCTTCCCCGAGCCAGAAATAGATAGTTCGATCCATGACTTGCTCCCACGAGTGCAGGAAAAAGTTCATTAAACTCACGGAATCCGTCGATTGAGCCAACAAGATGCTTGCTCCTCATCACGAGACTCTACTCTTCCGAACAGGCAGCAACGGAGGAGGAGGCGAAGGGGTAGAAGAGCCCGAGCCTGAGGCCTTCACGCACGAAGGCGTTCGCGGAGCGCGGCCGTTGAAGCGCAACGACTCAGCCGACAACTCCCCACCCGGGCACCCGTGCACAGCTCCGCCCCTGCTCCCCCAATCCACAGGAGTCGGAGATTCACGGAACCCCCGCGATTGCCGAGTGGGCCAGCGCCAGGTGCTCGTCGGCCCCGACCCGGTGCGCTTGCCGCACGGGTTCGAAGGTTCCGCGACTTGACCAGATGCATCCCCCCTTCCTATTCTTCTAGTATCATCCAAGTCTTCAGACTAGCGATGTCAACCCTACCGTCGATTCTGCCACTCTGGATAGATTGGAAAGAATCGCGCCGGGAACGTGACTCCTGCGAGCATTCCATTCATCCAGTAATGTGCTTTTGGATGACATCCAAATGAGTCTTCTAGATGATTTTTAGCAACCATGGTAAAATCCTCATGCTCTCGAATTAGAGCTTTTTCTGTACAGTAATTAGGGTTTGATGCATCTGGATTATGGTTTGGAGTCTTACTACCCAATTGTTGGTGTCAAATTACTTTGGTGGGTGTCTTTTTACAAAATGCCTTGCAGCCTTCATAGAGAGTAAATATTGAATTATTGGGAAAGTCTGTGTGGTGCATGTGGATCAGGTATGGGCCTCTTTTTAAAACAGGGACCAGATACAGAGGACCCAGGGTGGGGGCCATGGTCCAGGTTCAGTGTATGATGTTGCTTCTTGTAGGGGTACACATTGCACAACCCATCTCTGTAGTGTTCCCCCCAGTTTTTCATAGCAAATTTGTGAAAAATGGCATCATGTGGGGGATCCAATTAAACAATTGTTCTCTGGTGATATTCGGCTCATTTAAAAGTAGAATATACACACATACATATATATATATATATATATATACAACTTTTGTTCTGCAATAGGAACTCTTAATGCAGTGTGATACTTAAATTAATTGATGTTAATCAAAACTGAAGATTCCAAAGAGTTTTCAGATTCTATTGATGTTGAATAAAGTATGGAAAATATTGATATTTGATTGCAAAATGCATCAAGATCATGACTTTGGAAAATTGAAAACTTAAATAACGGATTTTAAAAGTATTCATTTAATACCCATAATTGAAACATGCATTTTTAATATATTATTATTAAAAAAATCATGTGTTTTTCTTTTAATTTCATGAAAAATAAATTAAAATGTAGAAAAACAGCAATTTCTTGCAATAGTGATTAAAATTTTCTGCATAATGGTACTTTTCGAAAACAACTAATGTTGAACAAACTTCTTCAATGATATGCAAAAATATATTTAAATTGAAGAGTATTATATTTTCACATCAATAGTAGAAAATAATTTGGTTATGTGAGACTCTTACTTTCGGATGTGACTGATTAAAGTGTACATCATAGACAAACATGTTTGTCAGCTATATTATAATAAAATTTCCAATAAAAATAAATAAATAGGTAACACAATATTAGAAGTAATACAGGATTAGCACGCATGTGCTCTATCAACAAAAGTATACACGTAAACTCTCATACTTTAGGTCTTTTGATTCCTAAGGTTCTTATAAAGATAGAGAGCACTGAACTTTTCTGTAAATAAAGTGAAACACTCCATTTGTTATGTTACATCCCAAGTACGCCCTCATCATATATTTAATGCATGTGCCAAATTTGTAAATTTTTATTTCATTTTACTTGTGAAGCATATTTCATAGTTTTATTTCCTTGACAAAAGTTTTTAATTTGTCAAAGTGTAAGAATAGATATACAACAACACTAATAATGATTGCATATAAAAATAACCTAACAAATATTTTAAATTGTTGATTTATAGAACAAAATATAGGATTAGTATACAATTTGTCTCCAATTCTACTGAAAGAGATGAGAAAAAGCAACTCATACCTTACCCTTAAATGCTTAAGAAACATAACTAAGTACGTAAAAAATGTTCTTAAAAGTTACGTTTGTAATTTAATGAAAGTGAAATACTTGAGTAAATAAAAAGTACACAAGACAGTATATTGTGCTTTCTAAAATAGCAATAAAACATCTTTAGATTACAGAAAGCTTCTGTATGTTTCATTCAAATTTACGTCCTCATTTAAAAAAGTTATTACAGCCTCTCAGACCATACTGGGATAAACATTCAATTATCACAATGTCTGATGTAACATGTTTATCTATTTTTTAACAACACAGTTTTGGGTTTAATCACAAATAGTTATTGATTTGGAATTATTTCAGTATCTTCAGATTATTCTCTCTTCCAACTGCAGCATATAAATAACTTTTATGTGAAAAGAAAATGCCGCATTTTTCGGAAGATATTGGATAGCAAAGACGATGCAATTCAACCTCGACCTCCGTCGGACCATAGTAAGAAAAGAGTCCTGCTGGGTTCTTATTTCCTAGTAAGAGAATCTAGCTTTTCTAAGAGACAAATTCAATTTATAAATTAATGACAGTAGTTCGATCTTCCAAAGGTGGACGTCACAAAAAAAAAGTTCCTTGGCATCCAGACTGAACTGCAGCAACATGGAGATAAATACTCGACGACTTTACCAGCCATGATTCACCTACCCGATTCAATCATACAAATGCTCTCTATCTTCCGAACTTTTACATCATAACCAAAAAAATCAGTTATACAATCTATCATCTCTGTAGCTCGAGCAAATGCAAGGTAACCTCCAGAGCTAAGTAGTTGATGGCGCCGAGACACACGATCCAATCGCTCTCCACTACAACATCAAGGAAGTAAACCAGTATTCCACCGACGCTCTCCATAATCTACCGCACCTATCTAAATCATTAAGAGAAAACAGAAAAATCGCCTACCTTTCTTCGAGAGTTCACTGCAGATAAGTCAGTACCCATTCTATGTATTCGTGAACTTTATACAACTTGATAACTATCCACCAACAATTGCGTCCGTCTTCCGAATTTGACCGCATTGCCATTCTGAGTTTGGACTACAGATCCAACCTGCCAGAGACATCGAGGCAGATATTGCTTCGGCATAAAAATTTGAACGGAAAGACATACATACACAATTGAAGGATACATCAAACCTTTTTACTGCATATTAAACTGGAGAAGTTTGTAAATAGTTACCTTTAAATCGCAGAAAGTTTTGTTTGATGAAAACTTGACGTCTATTGGAAAGAACGAATTTGGATCTGCTGCAGGCACCACAAACTCCATAGATCCACTGCAATAAAAGAATAACCAGTCGAATATTAGATTTTAGAATACGTGTAACTAGAAGTATCGGTCTTTTCCGAATGAAAACCCTTAAATACAACGTAAAATTTATCATATCCATTAATGTAAAAAATAAAGCAGGAGAAGTAGAACGGTAATACCTTCTGTTGGTGTTGTCAATCAACGTGATGGTCCACTCTAATAATGAATTCCTGGAATCGTATCTGGAGGCACAGCATACACTATGGATCAGGGTTCAAACATTAAAAAGCAAAAAAGGAGACAATTTCAGTCTTAAAAAAGTAAGGGAGGAATCAAGATGGAAGAAAGAGAAAGAAAGATCAGCAGAGAAGTTGAAAAAAGAGAAGAAAAGAGTGTAACAGAGCACAAGAGTAAGCTAAACTCACCGCCATTCACCATCCGCTTGATTCACAGTTGGAACATCACGAATTGCAGGCAATGGGATATGAATGACAACATTCTGGAGATCAAATGATCTAGAGGCCTCGTATTCAATGTTAACGTAAGATTCCCCACCAGACACCGATGGCCAACAATTGACTGAAACAACACATGGCACAGAAGATTACATTGATAGTCCAAGAAACAGACCAAAAGGCATATTCACAAGCAAACAATAATAAAAGATAAAGCACACAGCACTAAAAGTAAATGAAGTGCCAAAGGCGACATTGAAACCACTGTTATTGACATGAAATCTCCGAACAAATAATTAATCAGAAAAAACAATGCAAATTGTGCAGTATAAACCAAAAATAGCTCATTTTCGTGTGTTGCTATTGCACAGAAGTTAAATGTACCACTAGGTCTTAAAGATCAAGAAAGACTCACTGCTTAGAGGAACAAGTGACTCTTGCTTGCTTTGCATGCGCCACCTCAAGATACCAAGTGGATTGCCAGTTGGAAACGGCCTACTTGGGTCCTTCAGACCCAGAATGTTACTGTCTGAATACAGGTTTTTATCGATATTTGGATGTGTCTTGAAGTTGAACAACTTGTTCGCGCTTGATTCAACCTGAAAGAATGTAATGCATCAGCCATGAACCCGAGGAATACTTTACGTGACAATTCCAAGACAAATAGGAACAACATTGCTAACATTATAATAATTCTCTACATGAATCGAGATTCGTACATCGAAAACCATGAAAGAATTAAGTACCTGAACCCGAATGTAAGCATCTTCTTCTTTCTGAACGACCAGAGACATGTTACCCTGTACTTCCAAATTCTCGAGACCGCCGTCCTTCTTCAGAACGACCACAAGCTTCTCCTCCACACCCACCATAATGGGATCAGAATAGATGGGTGCGATAGCCGCTGCTGATCTAACGGGTCCAGGGGCAACATCTTCAACAATGACCTCACCCTCGGCCTTCAAAGATTCCAGGAACTGATTTGTCTTGGTGGACTTGCCTAACTGCATGCCTCCCTTGGAAGGAGCTGAGGTGGAGGTGACACGGGCTGCAACAGCAGACCAGAAGAAGTTCCACGAATCAAATACTCTAGTAGAAGATGTCTTAAACACAACAACCAGCTAAAACCGCACTGGCAAAAAGGCGAAAAAAATTACAGCAAACACACCTTTAGATTTGAAGACATCAGCATCAACACCTGGTCCAAATCCAGAAGAGTTGGTTCTCATGCCACCATCAATTGAAGGGTCGCCGAAGCCGTTATCAATCCTGCTGGATCCCATTGAAGGCATGGAAGGAACAAAGTTTCCTTTGTCCCCTCTTCCTTTCTCAATCTGCATAGCACATGCACAAAATTTTAGTAAGCACCAAGAATAGTGTGATGGTTACGCACAATGCAAATGCTACTCAACCAATAGGATTAACTTAGAATGAAATTTGAACCAGTGAAAGAGGATTTCACATCCTCGTGATACAAAATTACTAAAAAAAGAAAGATTATCTACGTATATAAAATTCAAGCTATCAAACCCTAACATGCCGGCAGTAAAGAAGTTAATCCAATCAAGCAAAGCTTAAGAAGGTGACTAAACAATCTTTAACAAATCTTTAACTTTTGATCGAGTTAACGTTTGATCCGAATATTAATGCTTGGTTTCGTACGACTAGATGCCATGCCTCAAACGGCACAAATTTGTGGAATTCATACTGGCACTGCACAGAATCGATCTTGTTCAGAGGCTGAATATAATGACGTGTGAATGTAAAATTATGAATTAATGAACAAGTTCAAACTGATACATACCTTGCTTTTCTCAATCTCATTCGCTTTGCGCTTCATTAAGTCTTTTGTCTCGTTAATTTTGCTCTCCATGATGCGCTTGTGCAGTCTTTCTTCATGACTCTCCATCTCCACATACTGCTTGACTTGTGCAATAGTGACATTCTCTTTATGACCTAGAGAAATAACTTCATCAAAAGCAAATATTATCTCGAAAGCCATCTTGCAGATGCCCTCCTCGTCGAGAGATGGTACATACTCAGGCACCTAGTAGAGGTCAAGGAGCATACCCAATCCCATTCATAACATCCAAATTAAACTCTGACCAGGTATTCTCTCCATGTGGAAAAGTACACGTTGAAAAATCGAAGACTAGTAATGACAAAGCTGGACTCAAGTAGGATACGAGCTTGGAGAGCAGTTGTAAGGTATCTCGATCTTCTAAAATGTTGCTCTGCTTGTTGGTCACCAGAAGGAGGTACAAGGACTCCATTGGTTGATAGACATAACGGACATTGTCTGTCTCGACATATGTGTGTTGCTTCCCGATACCAACAAGCTTCGGGAATGTCGCAAGTAATCCCTCAATTCGTATCCTGGACATGTCCACATACTGCCGAGAAACCAGAGCTGCAAACAACACGAAATGTTTTCAGGCTCCTAAGGATGAACTCGTAGATGAAACGGTCAATTGAAACTCAATAAGAAAATACGATGATGCTCATTCCGACACAACCTGTAAGGAACTTGAACAAATTTCCAAACCCTGAAACCAGATCTTTCCAAGAACTAATTTGTGAAGCCTTACAAACCAGTTACATTTCCATCTCGATGACTTTCACAATTGACAGAGTCAGACTTCAAATCTACGTAGTAACGTCCTCATTTTCGAAGACATGACAATCTCTTCTCACGGAGAATAGTATCAAATATCTTGTGACAATCCAGTAACTCGCCCAAAAAATACCCACTCTTTACAATTCAGAAAACCATAAGATACTCCTGCAATGCTGCCCATACTCGTAAGCGTCTTCAACGCCGCCACATACCGCAAGCAAAACACTCGCACAGCAACTAAGACTTGACAATTACTCGGCCTGAGATACTGCAATTAGTGTCCGACACCCCAAAACTGTAACCCCGTGAATAAAGAAAATTTTAATAGTGCACAAGCTGTACCTTTCCCGGACTTGCTGATGATAGAAGCTGCCAGCACCACCTGACGCAAACCGCGAAAAGCTCACTTTAGCTCAAAAGCACGAGAAGAAGATCACCCCCGACCTCAAACCCTCATCCAGGCACAATTGATTTAATCACGAACCACGTACCATTTCACACAAAAAAAGCTCCAAAATAAACCTACCATTGTAGCTGGGCTTCACACAACCTCAAAATTCGTGCGGAAGCCTCCGAAACTCTTCCAATTGACGATGGTGTTCCCTGATCCACTTACAATCTACGATCCCGCATATCTCCGCAGCGACCCTTCCCCGAAGGCGCAGTCGCGCAACTGCGCCAAAAGTCCTCACAAACGGCTCAAAAAACACCGCGCGACGGCGATGACAAAGGCAGCAAGAGTCGCTGCTTAGATTCGGGGAGCAAGCAAACGGGATCTGGCAGAAACGCAGCTCCAGGCGTGGCGATGGGCGCGAGAGAGTCCGTGGGGGGCAACAATACTTCGCACTTCACCTCACTTGAAACTGGACACTGCCACATGAGTGCCAGCGCGGGCGGGGGTCTGAATGGAAGCGCCCAAGGATGCCCGGCCCAGCCCTGCCTGGCCCCTGTGACGTCTGGTATGTCATACCGCCTCGATGGTCTGTGGGCGGGCGATGATTCGCATCAATAATGTTTCTCATCCATCCACCTACCCTTACATCCATTCATCACCCACCCCCTCCACCAGTACGTGTCAGTGCGCCATTGGAACTTTAGGGCACACGTGGATGTTAAATTCAACCATGGACAATTAGCGAAATCTAGTTCCTCCATAATAAACATATATATATATATATATATATAAATATATATTTTTATTGCACTTTTTCCATAGAAATATCATGCATGTAGATATATTAATTTTTATTAAAAGTAAATGTTGTAAAAGAAAATATTGGATGTTTGCACAATACACCAAATTGGTGTAGACTGCAAAGGCAATTGTAGATATGTCTTATTAATACCTGAAATTATATTCATGCTCACACACATAGTACGTGTTGTTTTATAGCAATGGTTAGTTGTGTATTGTCCATCAACAATTTATAATTGTGTTACATGCATACAATAAATTAATTTAAATAAATCATTGTATTTACTAAACAAGACAAGGTTTGATATGTTGATTAGATTGTCATGATTAAAGTGGTTGTGAATTGAAGGTGTCAAGTATTGAAGGTAACTTATAGATCAATCATGCTTCTTTCCAATTTCCTTGCTTACTTTAGATGTATCCAACTTGGCCAAAATTTCACAACACTAAAATGCCCTATGATACTTGGTATTGGCAGCATTTCTTATGAATAATAAAAAAAAATATGTTTTTAACACAATTAAGTAGTTAGATAGATATTTATTTTTAAATTTGTAGTTGTTAAAATATAAAAAGTTGCACCTTCAATCAAATTTTAGTTTTGGTGGTTAGTATCGTAAAATTTAAAATATATAGTCATTAAAAGTTTTTGAAGAAAATGTATCAAATCAATGCCCCATTTAGATAAATTTTATAAAATGGTTTAGCTTAAGCATGCCAAAAAAATAATAAACTGATAACAATATTACTTTCATATAAGTATAATGCCTATTTATAATTATTTATTAAAATTTATTAAAATTTATTTTATTAAGATTTTATCTAATTTCTTTTTAAAAATTCGCCACTCTTAAGGTTTTTCAATTTTGATTTTGATTATTACAAAAAAAATGTATTTTTACAAAATCTATTATTTTAATATATTATATCAAAATATATAGTATTAAAGTCACTTTAAATAACAAAGATATATTATGTATAAAATAATTCAAGTATTTATAAATTTCAACTAAATATTCATAATAAAAACATAATAGTAATGTGGACTCATATATATTTGTATTGCAAATAATAATATTATAATTATTTAACTTAAAAGTATTATTTCTTATAAAAAATAATAATATATTTAATTAATTCAATTAAATATATAATAAAATTTAAATTTTCTATACTAGCATATTTTATAATATCATAAACTTTCTTTTTTCTTTTTTCTATTCATAAATTAGCCAAAGAAACTAATAATTTTTTTTTGTCAAAATTTAATACCAATATATTTTCATTTTTTAAATTATTTTTCTACTTCATTTTTAGTTTGTTCTTTTAAAATCTTTAAAATATATTCTTTTTATTTTAGTCATTAATGATTATGTATGATTTATTTTTAATATTTTTTTATATCCCTAAAAAAATAATTAATTATCTTATTATAATTTATCAAATATTTTTAAAAATAATTTATAGAATAAAGTATAATTTTTTAAAATAACCATAAACTTATCTCATATACACACACACACACACAGATATATATATATATATATATATATATATATATATTTATGTAAGTTATTTTTAATACTAAAGAATTTAAATCTAAGCTTCTAAATTTTGCTACTAAAGCTATTAAAAATGAATTGTGCTAACTATTTGTCAAGGATACAAAACACAAATAATTAAAGAATTGATATATTCTTGTATCACCTAAAAAGAATAGATAATCACTTAAAGATAGTGTAATATTAAAACTAACTTAGCAATTTCCAATAAGAAGAAGATTAATGACTCTTGCAAGAAGACTAAGATCAAAATAGGCATTGACAAGAGTGAGAAAGGCATCACTCTTATCTCTATATATACTATCAAATTAGGAGCTATATGGTAAATTTTTTTGAGGCCTCTAACACATCTCCAACTTGCTCAATAGGTATCTAATTTATAAGGCAAGTTTTTAGTATGTGCTCTATATAGCCAACTTGTACCAAAAGTGGCAAACATGTGCAATATGGGGCCAACTTATTTGCTAAAATTTCAATATACTAATCACCTACAAACATGTATAAAGTCAAATCCACATCAATAAAGCTTCTTAAAGCTTCTTCACAAGTCATTATATTTTATTTTGATTTTTACTTACCTCTGTTTTAATCTTTTTACTTAGATAATCATTGGTATTGACTATGTCTATGATATTATCTTTCTTTCTAGATACAAATTCCACAAGAAGCAATGATTATATACTAATAAAGTTCAAGATGCAACAAATTGTATTATCCATAAGTTCTAATTTTTCTCTTTAAAGGTAGTTCATAGATTCTTTTAATTATCAATAGAATTATATATTAAGAGTATCTTTTTATTTGATCATTGTTAAGGTCTTTATATATTTAATCATCTAAAAAATTTGAAATTCCATAAAGAGTGGTTCCTATAATATCACTTAACATTAGAATTTTTTTCTAAATTTATAATACTAAATACATTGTATCTTGCCATCTATTTAAAGAAGAACATATTCTTCTTGAAGATCTTTATTTTTGTTAGGTTGTCTTAAAGATTTTAACAATCTTAATGTCTTGTCCAATAACTCCAATAAACAATAGCTCTTGAATTGAATCTACTTGTTATTGATTTTCTATTTCTTTGGTGCTATGTGAGTTCTACCAATAGATCAAAATTAATGGAATTTTTAAAAATATAGTTTTAAATTATTTAAATATAAAAATATTAAGATTAGAAATTTTTTTTTGATTATTTTAATATTTGATAGAATTTTAAAAAATTTATAAGATATAAGAGTCTTATTAGAAAAAAAATTATAAAAAATAGTATCTTAATAAATCTTGGAGGTAATTATTTTATTTGATTTAGTATTCTTATTCATTTTTATATATTAATAATTAGTTATTAAGACCAATTTCTACATTGGTCTTTTATTTACATGTACTATTTATAAAAAAAAACTTATAAATTTTAATTAAAAGTTTAAAATAACATAAAAATAAAACCTCATATCTTTTTAATAATTTATATTAAATTTAAAGTTTTTATTTGATTTAAATAGATTTTATTATTATAAAAAAATTATAAAAGATATAAAATATATTATTAAATTACTATTAGTATTAAAAAATTAAAATAATATTTATAATTTAGAATTTAGAATTTTTAAGGAATTTTTAGAAAAAATCTCAAGACTTTGGTAAAATTAAGTTGTACTACCTTGCGAGTATTATGAAGAAATAGAGCAAGATTTAGAGGCCATATATAATTCTTAAGCTAATTGAATATTTTTAAATATCACAATGACGTTAAAATATAAAAAAATATTTTTACTAATAAAAAATAGAAAAACTAATAGCTAATATAGTCCTTGTAGGAAGAAAAGTGTACAAGTTCCATATGAGTTGTAACACCTTAGATATAAGTAGAAAGATACAGCTAAAGTCTTATGGTTTCTTTAGGATATCTATATATACTACATGTAAGCCTTAATGAGGTTCAAATCCTTGATATATAACCAAATTATCCTTAAGATAAAATATTTTCATTTAATTTTTCAATTATTCACTTCCTATCTATAAACCTTCATAACTTATTTATATTAAGGTTGATTTACATGTTTTTTACGTCATTAGAAAGATAATAAAATTATTAATTTAAAAATATATATATATATATATATATTTATTTATTTTTAATATTATTTTTTATTGGATTAAAATCGTATGAATAAATTACAACTAAGCTTTGAAGTATGTAATTGCTTGATTTCATTTATTTTACTTATTTTATGTTTGTTCTTCTTTTATTCTTGCTATTTGCTTGTTTCACTTTATACCACCAATTATAAGAAATTTTTAATTGAGGCCATCTTGTAATTTGAAATAAAGGGTGAAATTTATCCTTCTATACTATAAATACAAAAAAACTATAAACAAAGATAAAAAATAGAACAAAATATTTATTGAGATTTTTTATTTTATAGAAATAAATTGCTTAATTCTTCATCTTAATTTTGATGGATATTATTAATGAAAAAAATGAATGTTATTTTCTATATTTACAAGATTCTTAGATAGCTTCTAAGTGCATTCACTAATATCATATCTCTAACAATGTATAAGATTTTCTAACCTATTTTGGTGCCTTCTTGAATCTCAAATTTCTTCTACTTTAAATTTATAATTTTTATCTATATCTATAAGAATTATTAATATTTTTTTTATCTTTATAATATATCTACTATCTTATATAAGTCAAAAAATAATACATAAAACATAAAATGGATCTTTATAGACTTTAGTAGGTTTAATTAATATGCAATGAAATTAATTTATTCACAAATAAAAATTAGTTTAAATCTATCATAATCTAATTTTCCACAAGGCCAAATATTATTCATATTATAATAGAATAATCTATTAAGTTCATAAATCTTAAAAAATCAAAAGATTAATATATACTTATGTCACTAGAAATGATTACATAGTCAGTAAAAAAACAATATAATATTGAACTAGAATGGCTATTGCTAAAGATAAGAAAATTAGAGTCTCTACAAAAAAAATTAAAAATAAAAAAGGTAGTGACAAGTTTAAAGAAGATTTTATTTTTGCTTCCATGTATACTATTAAATTAGAAGCAATGTGGCAATGTTCTAAACAACCTTTGACGCATGTCTAACTTATAGTA